AGAGATTGTACACAACCTTGATGTGGCAATGCACCTGTAATCCCAGCACTAAGGAGGCTGAGAAAGAAAGATCACAAGTACAAGGTTAGCCTAGGCCACATAGGGAGACCCTATTTTAAAATAATAAATAATCAGAGATTGTATATAAATACAGTAACTTTTAATCTAAAAAACATTATGGTATTTAGCTATCAAGAGAATGCATTTATCCTCTCTTCCTTATTTCCTACTGTATAAGATCTAATGATAAAGTTTTTTTCATGATCACTTTATATCTCCACAGAAAAGTATCCTCTATAGCACAATTAAACATTAAAACTTTATTAGGGTTTCAGCTAAAATTCAAACATGCAAGTGGGCTTTAAAATTTATTCACAGCCAAGAGCTCATAAGACATGAACATTTTCTATTACAACGAGGTTTTAACTATGAATTCTGATTTTCCCAGATATACTCTCAAAATACTTTTAATTCTTATACACTATGTTATCTTAAAATATTTATTTGTGGGTCAGGGATTTAGCTCAGTGGCACTGCACCTGCCTTGCAAGGGCAAGGTCCTGAGTTCAATCCGCAGTACCAAAAACAAAACAAAACAATTTGTTTTTAAAAATAATCAATGCAGATGAATAATACTTGCTACTATCAAGAAATAAGAGCCGGGCATGGTGGTGCATGCCTGTAATCCCAGCACTCGGGAGGCTGAGGAGGAGAACTGCTGTGAGTTCAAGACCAGCCTATGCTACATAGTGAGCTCCAGGTCAGTCTCAACTACATAGTGAGATCTTATCTCAAAAAACCAAAGAGAGAAAGAAAGAAAAGAAAGAGAAAAGAAGAGAGGCTCAAAGTCACAGCTGATGAAAAAGAAGCCAAGAGAAGCAATAAATTTGCAAATCTCCCATAGAAATGTCATTTTAAAAATTCAACAAATATATTAGATATCTACATTAATAAACAGCATCATTGGTAAATTTCACTTTACTTTCTAGCAGATGTTCTAGGTAAATAAAGATGTAGTTCACAAATATTAATAGAATCATCTCTATAAGCAAAATGGATTTATAAGGTAATGCAATGCAAACTTTATATCACTGCTTTAACAGAGGAAATGATTTTCAACTTAACATTATCAAGAAAGCTGTTGACAAGGTGTTCCATGAGATCTGAAAGTGGAAATAAAGATAAGATAATGGGGGGGAGCACAAGCAACTGGTGCTGATCTAGGAGAGATTAGTAGATCTCTTATTTGGCCTTATGCCACATCAAATTATTAAAAATCAATGCAAAATACATCAAGCATACTTAGTTTGCAGATAAAGTGAACTGCTCTTGATGAATACTACTTGAGATTTTAGCATCTCTAGAGAATAAGTACAATTAATAAGAGGAAATTTAGCATTCATATATCTATATTTATACATATTTGTATAAATGTAGTAACTATAAACAACTGTGCCTGAACAATATACAGGCTAGGGGGCATTTTGTTTATTAGAACTATGTAAGTTTTAGTTGCCTACAATCTCAGTAAGTGACAGTAATGAAATATAGCTCTCAAAACAAAAGCTCATTTCAGGTGTCCCAATTTAAATGAACACAAGGGGCTGAGGATTTAGTTCAGTGTTTCTGCCGCCTGCCTTGCAAGCACAAGGACCTGAGTTCAATCCCGGTACCCCCCCCAAAATAATGAACACAAGAGTCTCTTCCTGCTTTGCAAGGGAAAGGACCTGAGTTCAATTCCCGGTACAAAAAGAAATTTAAATGAACACAAGGAAAATCAGTAAAGTACAAACTGTGGAAACCATCTAATAAAAGAAATACTAAAAGGAACCAAATGTATTTATATCTGGAAAAATGAATGTAACACTACTATTAAAAGACATAGAGAAAGGGCCAGGGATTTAGCTCAGTGGTTCCGCCACCTGCCTCAGAAGCACAAGGACCAGAGTTCCATTCCCGATATCAAAAAAAAAAAAAAAAAAAACACAAGGAGTTACAGTAAAAAAGGAAGAAATATCTTTATGAACCTAATACTAATACATAATATTAAGTAGTAGTTGTAGGAAAAGATATTTTTACACCAAGGAGATATACCAAGTGGACAGACTGGATTCAAACATAGCAAGCTTCTCATAAGGACTTAAGAATGGGTGTACCACACTTCACTCTGTTGTCACTCTTATGCATTCTATTATCGTAAATAAAAGTTCAATGATAAAACTATAAAAAAACAAGATTAACTAACACAACCTATTTTAGCATGTGAAAATGGACAACCAAGGCCTAAATGTTGCATTCACAGCCATGTCCAGGTCACCCAGGAAATCGTAACAGTTAAAAAATTCTTAGATGGGGCTGGAGATTTAGCTCAGTGCTGCTGCCTGCCTTGCAACCACAAAGTCCTGAGTTCAATCCACCATGCCCCATAAAATTCTTAGAAGTACAAGAAGAAAAGAGAAGTTTGACTTAGAAAGAGTATGACGTGACGCGAAGTTTCACAGGATCTGTCTAAAAAAGCAAAAAAAGGGTGTGTATGTGTGTAAGCACAAAATGGAAAGAAAACAGGCACTTGAGGTGGAAAGGTAGTGGAAGGACAAAAGGGATGTTTGAAGTACCTAGGAATTATGAATAGGGCAGGGAGGAGTGACAAATGCCTTTAATCCCAGTACTCAGGAGGCTGAGTCAGAAGGACTATGAGTTCAAGGACATTCTGGACTATATGTAGCAAGAGGCTGTCTTGGAAAAGAACTACAAAGGATTACTTTTAATAGCTGCTACAGTCAAACTTCCAAGAGTTACTGAGGCCAAAGGAGCAGTTATGACAAAGTAAAATTATTCTGAAAAGTATGAACAAAAATTTTAAAATTAAAAGTAAAAGAATTAGAAAAACTAGGGCCTAAGGAATAGGAAAACTGTTACTTTAACCTGTTATTTATATTTATAAAAAGTTTTTAAGGTTTGAGGATGTAGTTCACTGGCAGGGAACTTGCCTCAAGTGGACAAGACCCTAAGCTTGATCCCCAGCACTGCAGATACAAACCAACAGAACACCACGTTAAAGGTTTCCAAAATTTTTAATTACACTAGAAAACTAAACTTAACACACTGTGAATTAATCCAGCTTAAGCTACTGATAACTGAAGGACAATTTCTCTGTTCTTCTTTGAAGCAAGAGGCCATTGATATTTGTGACATTCAGATTTTAGTGAGAACTGATATCATGAATATATGAAGCATTTTATAAACATGAAAGTAATACAGAAAATATTCCTTTAGTACAACTTAAGTAGTTAAGAACTCAACCTAAATAACCTGAAAGAGAGCTTTACCAAAACAAATTTTTTAAATCTCCAAAACAAATTATTAAAATCTCCATCAAAGAACTAGACTTTGATGGGACCGGGGATTTAGCTCAGTGGTTCTGCTGCCTGCTTTGCAAGCCAAAGGTCCGGAGTTCAATTCCCAGTACCACAAAAGAAAGAAAGAAAAGAAAGAAAAGAAAAGAAAAGAAAAGAAAGTGAAAGAAAGAAAGAAAGAAAGAAAGAAAGGAAGGAAGGAAGGAAGGAAGGAAGGAACGAACTTGACTTTAAAAATTAAAAGACTAAAAAACTAAATATACACGCAACAGCAAAGTCATCTGGTCTATTTCATTCAGTTTACCCCAATCGGGTTTGCTATCCTCTATCACACTAGATAGTAGCAACATCAGACCTCAAAGGATGGGGACAGTATACTGAAAATGGGAAGAGGAACTCAACACTACAGATCATACTTCATCTCAAGATTTTACACCTTTCATCATGCAACAACCAAAAGAAGATAAAAGATGATGATTCACCCCCAGAAAGTTCTAGAGGAAAATGGAAAACTAAGGCTAATTCACCAATAACTACCATTAGCAGGTTCACTATAAGCCATTAAAAAAGAAAATCTTAAGTTTCCATTTTATAATTTTCTTTGTATTTTATTTCACCAGTTTTGAAAGGTACTTTCTCCCTCTTAATTATTAATGGACTTTCACTTAAGCCATACATATTTGGGGAAAAATTCTTAAAATCTATCTGGTTAGTTTTGGCTATGTCCATGCATAAGAACATTCACTAGACTTTAGTTTATCTTTTTTTTTTTTTTTTTTGGTACCAGGGATCAAACTCGGGTCCTTTAACTTGTGAGGCAGGTGGCAGCACCACTGAGCTAAATCACCAGCCCTACAGTATATGTTCTTGAAGGGTTTTTTTTCCAGGGGGTTGGGGGCAGGGGTGTGAATAAGAGCAAAGGAAAAAGGACTTGTTAACACTAAAGTGCACAGACAGTACAACTTCACTTTCCCAGAAGTACCTGAAGCACATTTTCAGGTATATGTATGTTGCTATGTTTGTTTGCAATCTTTCCAATGAAAGCCTTACCTCCAGCATGATCACTCAGACACGTGTTTCATAACCTATCAAGATGTGCTGAGCACTAGAGTCGGCAACAGCTACAAGGGAAGTCAGTGAGGACAACAAGTGGACTCCACCCTCATCATGCACGAGGCAAAGGCTGTCGGGTTAAAACTCTTACACGGTAAATGGGAAGGAAGTTTAAAGGGAAGGGAAAAAGCCCTGGACTTTCTGATTTCTGCACCTTGGCTTACAAGCCTTTCTGCTTAGAATGCACTTCTGCACGTGTAGAAATCTAAACAAAGGGTGCGTCCTGCATGGCATATTCTCCTGTCTCCAGAGTGAGATCCAATCTCTCCCTTTAACAGCATCTTGGTGGAACGTGATTTCATTCTAGCACGGCATTTTTGTATTAAAGATCCTTTACACACTGACAAATGTGAAGGTGAAATATCATGCAGGCTCCACCTTCAATAAATTAACCACAATGTGGTTTCAAATTTTCAAATTAAAGTCTTATAGAAAAGAGTACCTATGACAACACCTATTAGGCAGTCTGACTCAATACACTCCCATCAGTGGAGGCTATGAAAGAAAAAGGAAAACTCTTCAAATACATACTTCTATGTTGAGACTGATGGAAAGAGTACGTTTTGCTTCGGTCTGGAGAGTAGCTTCGACTACTGACACTGGAGCCAGATCTGCTGTGTGGAGAGTCCTTTCGGCCTACAGATGATTCTCGAAAAAAAGGAGCATCTCTTTTATGAGGAGACCGGTCTCTCATATAATGGGAAGAGTAGAAATTTTTTCTTCTAAAGCCATCTCTCATCTCCCTGCGAAGAAAAAAGGAAATAAACTGATTACAACCCACGTATACAAGCACGTGAAAAAAGGCCTAATTACAAGATATTCTTTAAATTGCAACCCTGGAATAGTTTCTCTGGTGTGAAAAACTAAAATAGTACTCAAGATCTTAATGGGACAATTAGCAATGTGAAATAGGAAGAGAAGGACCAAAGGTGTAGGGACAGTGAGAAGGATAGGGAAAGGGGAATAAGGGAAAAGGGAAAAAATATGAGAAAATGTAAAAATGGAATTAAAGTGTTTGAAGGAGGGGAGGGGAGGAGTGGGTGAAGGGAGGGGGGGGACAAAGGGAAAAAATGAAAACCAAGACCTGGCATGTAAAGGTACAAGATCCCAGTAATGAATGTAACTGTACTGTCTACCTAGAATGTACCAATAAATTCAATTTAAAATTTAAATAAATAAATAAATAAATAAATTGCAACCTTGATTTGGCCGGGATTTAGCTCAGTGGTTCCACCGCCTGCCCTGCAAGCACAAGGACCTGAGTTCGATCCCCAGTACCAATAAATAAATAAATAGATAGATAGATAGATAGATAGACAGACAGACAGACAGACAGACAGCTAGCTAGCAAGCAACCTTGGTTTTATAACTTCTGAAGTGGGGGAACAAAATGAATCTAGATCAATGAAATGATCTAAAATGCACCACTTTTTCAGTGGTTCAAGTATAAAGGTTCTTTATTTTAAGCAAGCACAAATTCTAAAATGTGAAAAACAGAAGAACTTAGCTTCTATTGCTCTTTCCATTACTGATAAACCGTAACAATGTAACAAAGCTACCAGATTCTCAAAGACTAACAATACCAAAGACTTCCCAAATGAAACACTTCAAGACCCTTCAGCTGGAAAGTAGAGATTAAGTGTTCCTAATCTAAAAAGTTTCAAAATCACAAATTTTTTGAGTACTGACATCATGCTCAGAATCTTTTAAATTTTGGAGCATTTCAGATGAGATGCTCAAGCTATAAAGTATGCAAATATTATAAAATCCAAACACCTGAAATCTGAAAAGCATCTGGTCCCTAAGCATTACAAACCAGAGATACACAAGTGTTATATTCCTGTGTTTTTGGTCTCCTCCCAGCCCAGGGCACAATTTGACAAGATCTAGAGGATGTGGGTTAGTCATGGGTAGGGGAGCAGCACTGGGAGTGAGGGGCCAAGAATGCTGACAAAATCCTAAATGTCCAGAAAACGTTCATACAAACACACACACCAACAACCTATAAAGTCCAGAATGTTAATAATGCCAAATTGAGAAATCTTGATCTATATCCGTTAAATTCATGCTTTGAGTTTGTACCTTGAAGTACACAGACTGTTGCCCATCCCTAAATAACCTGGCTGGATGAAGATACTGGGCAGGCGGCTGGATCTGGGGATTCCTGGCAGCTGTGCTGTTGAAGGCGGGCCCACTGGGGGTGGTCACCAGTGCCTCTGTGGGGGTCCCTCAGGCACACAGTGCTCTGCTTCCTGAGTACAATGAAGGGAACCGCTTGTTCCACCAAACTCTTCCACAGTGCTACATCTGTCTTGGAACCAGTCAAGCACAGAATGAAAGCTCTGAAATCATGCGCCAAACTAAACCTCTCCCCCTTTAAGGTGCACGTGTGGGTATTTTTCAGCAATGAGAAAAGCTAACAAAGACAGTAAAACCAACATGCCATGGCACCTTTATTAAAGGAACACACAGCATCAAATGAAATTTAACTGATGTTTAACAAATATTTAACAAATACTACGATATAAATAATATTAAATTTCAGACATAAGAAGGCTGAGAGATAAACCAAAAGCATGGACTTCCCTTCTTTCTTTCTGTGGTGTGAGGGCCCAAACCCACAGCCTTGAGCACACTAGGCAAACACTATACTACTGAACTACCAGCCAAAGACATGAAATTTCTAATCTACAGCTAAGTGGCCAACTTACCTATCTATGATTAGCTCTGGATGGAGGGACCATGCTGCCACCCATTCGAGACTCCTTCTGGGAAATTCAGATCTAATCTTATCATTATTTCCAATTAAAACTCTCCTAACTTTCTCCTTTAGTTCACAACTTAATTCTTCCATATTTGTGGAACCACCAAAAAAAAGGAAAGAAAGAAAACAAAAGAATATACATATTGGGAAGCCAAGGAAAGAATACTCTTAAGTAGGGAAATAAAGGTTTTCTACATTTAAATCAGATCAGGCCTTAATGAACACTTGCTTAAGTCAGGGAGGAAAGCGGACCCTCCTGCAGAGGAGACTGACTCCATTGCTAACAGGTGAAATGCTGAACTACAGTTACCCAAGGCCAACACCAGATGGCAGTAAACTTACAACCCAGTTTGCAACTGTGTGGCCTGGGTTGGCTGGGAGGACCTGGGGAAGTGCAGCACTAGGTCAGGTTCCAGCAGAATAGAGTACTGTCTCTCCTCCCTTCCTGTCAACCTCTCTTACTGCCAACCAAGTTATGTAAAAATATCACACTAGGTAAAGATCCTAAGTACCATTTTTTATATTAGCTAACCTATTTTTTCAGGCACATACATGGGTTTATGAATACCTACTGCCCACGGTATGACAGGCACCATGGAGAATAACCCTGGCTCTGAGCAGGCCTGGGCTCTAAATGGGGCTTGTCAGAATGGGTAATGCTAGGAGTGACCCAAGAGTCATGTGACCAATGACAGCATGGAAACAAAATAGATTGTCAAAAATATCTGAAAGGATGAAATTATTACTTTTCTTCCCCCAAAAAAGCTTCACCAAGGGAAGACAGAAGGGAACTGAGACTGATCTTATTTTGATGGAAGGGGTTTATCTGAGTAAATCTGGAGTTTGAAGGAGAAATTTAATTTTCATCAGAGGAAACTAATAATTCAAGACACAAAACTGTTAAATTATTGAAGAAACCAAAGAGGAGGAAAATGAGAGAAAGGGAATAAGTAGAAGACAATTGTCTTGAATAGTACAAAAAGAGAAAAAAAAATCTCATTTAAAAAACAGAAAAATGAGAGAGCTCCCACTAGAATGTCTCAGAAAAGGAACTGCAGAAATTAAAAAAAGAAGAAAGAATGTGAATGGATAGGCAGGGTGGAATGTTTTACAATTGGTGGAGTAGGGGGAACTATTAATTAGGGGCTATTAATTCCTGTGTGAGCTCCTAGAATGAGTTCCTCGAAATTCATTACAAAGTACAAAGATGAGAACAGGATAGTAAAAATGGAGAAGCTCAAAGATGCCACTGGAGGAGGCCAGCACTTCAGACTGAGGCAGGAGGAACACAAAGTCTGAGGCTAGTCTAAAACTGCATAGCAAGAACCTGTCTCTAGAAGGGGGGGGGTGATAATAAAAAAGAGCAACACAAAACAGCCCAGAACATGTTAAACAAATCAAAGAACTAGAAGGCAAGTCACTTCAGAGAAAAATGGTTGATCCCTGTGAAGTGAGGTTCCAGCTATAGAAAATGAATGGAAAGAATGACAAAAAATATAGCCGCTCTGTTTTGAGTACTATGGATAAGAATTTTAGGATATACTAAAAGACCAAGTCCTTGTCCTCCTGACGTTTATATTCTAGCAAAAAGTCAGCATATAAATTCACCATTTGAGAGAGACAAGCACTATAAACAAAGGTAGAAGTGAAGTAGGTTATACAAGGAAGTCCTTTCTGCAAAGATGGCAGAGGTCCAGAGAGGTAACAGGCAAAACATAACCCAAAGAAGAACTTGGCAAAAAATATTCTAGGCAGGAGGAACTGAAATTGTAAAGACTCTTGGAAAAATAAGATGTATGTGTGCCAGATGTGGTGGCCCATGCCTGCACTCCTAGCATGCAGGAGGCTGAGACAGAAGGATCACATGCTCACGGCCAACCTGGGCTACAAAACTTTCAAAGCCAGCTTGAACTACAGTGAGAACACTATCTCAAAAGATCACAAAAATGTGTGTTTAAGCTAGCGTAGCTACACTTGAAGGTGGAACAGGATGAACTGAGACACTGGCAGGTCATGCAGCAGGACTGCTACTATAAGTGAAGCAAGATGGTGAAAAGGTTAAGAGCTGTGTTTACAATCATCCTAATGGCTCTGTGAAGCCATGTGATACTGTGGTAAGGACATAATGATGAGTCAGGTCGGCTCCTGGAGTTTACAGCAAACGCAGTGTAAGGTCAAATGCAGTTCTATTCTAACATGTAAGGCTTAAGGAAAGCATGCCCAAGGACAGAAAGGAAAGGGTGAGGGCCCTCTGTGAACCAGCCTCCTGTACTCAAAAGCTCTTCCAAAGTAACTATTAACTATCACACTCAAGAGTGCCAAGGGACCGGAATTTCACATTATTATTAAATTACCTGAATATAATTTGAAGAATTATCTTTGAAATAGTTTAAGGAGTACCATCAGTCTGCCTGGCTTTGATTCTTTTCCACAGCTTACAACAGCTCCCTATGCCTTAATTTCCTCATCGATACAGTGAAGATAATAATATTTCACAAAGTTATAGGAAGAGTAAAAGAAATAGTGCATCAGTCACATTTAGAACCAACACTACATTCAACAGATGTTTGCTATCGACTGTATTACCCCAGTATAATTTCTATTAAACCACTAAAAGGTTGGTAGCAAGAAACAGCTCGATATGCCAGTACAACTCACTGACAGCTACAAGTCACCCAGAAAAGCTAAACTATGAAATCTTGCTTATCTAAGTGTAAAACCAAGCTATGGTGATAAAATCCTCTAGAAAAAATCTTAAATTTGACTTCTAGATTGATTCCTTCATGGGATACATACCATGATGAATTCGGGTGGACTAAAAAGCTAAATATATGCAAACAAGAGACAGAAGAAAAAAGTGCCCAGAAAGGGGGTGGGGTGAGGAAGGAAGGCAGGCAGGCAGGCAGGCAAGCTCAACATTTGTAAGTATATAAAGAAACTATTTTGCACCAAAATGCCAAGTATAAACTGTATCTTAAA